ACACACACACACACACACACCGGAACTATGTGTGATCGTTCCATGTGTCTTGAGGCGTGTTCCGAAAGATACGTCGATCATTTCTTTTTGCTGAAGGGCCAGCTCTTCCCCGGTGTCTTATTTGCGTCCACAATTTTTGATGTTATAGCCTTCGCCTTTGCGCAATCCATTCTACATTACAGGGCAGCGAGACGCCTAAGGACAATTCTCCCAAGTTATGGTAGCATGGAAAGCTGCTTCTTCGGTCCTTGTAGGTGTGTGATTTTTTACTTTCAATTCTTTTTTTATATACTGCTGAGCACAGATTCACTATCGAAGCTGTAGAAAAAACCTCATGATCACATGTTTCCCATGCTCAACAGTTGTGCCTCAAAAACTTCTGTGTGCTTTTGGGACACAAGCTGGATGGTGTCCAACATTTCTCTTCCCAACATCTCGGCATTTTGTAAACTTTGCAACTTTCGTTTCACTGTGCCACGTGCTTATTAGGTGGAACCGTTTAGTAACTGGCTCTTTAAAGAACTAAACGGTGTCTCAACGTTTGGAGTTGCTGGATGTTGCTTTTTTTATTTCGCCAAACGCCTCTACTCATAAGCACTGAGTGTAGACCGGAATTTTTCAAAAAACTACAGTACTTGCCTTCGTTGACCTGCTACCGTATCCCGGCACATTATAAGGCATTCAAACTGGCCTAATTTCGAGTGTGCATTCTTCCGGACGAGAAGTTGATAAACGTTTATTACATAGATTATAAAGATGAAGATTATTAACACATTGCGGACCGCCACACTGCGCACATCTCCGAATCAATTCATAATTTTTCGTCACAATCATCGGAAATTTCCTACCCTTTTTCAATCGCTTGTAAGGTACGTATCATCCGTAACCGAGAACGTGCTTGGGCAACATTAGAACATTTAATCGAATAAAACACCGCATAGAGACGAATTTTTGACACACCATGTGTGTCACGCGGTCCGGAACGTGTTAACTTGGACAAAATGTTTTGCGTTTTTTAGATTTTACTGCTGTATATACGCGCAGGCCAATTTTCTACGAGACCAGCTAAGGAACTTTTATGTGAGCATTTCATCAGAAGTTTGAGCTTATTCACGTATGCAGGAGGAAATATCGAGTGCTTCTTCTTCTGAAACCGCAGACCATTCTTCAACTTGATAATTTGATTGCTCCAGTCAAAGGTGAAGATACAGTTCTAAGGCTAGGATTCGTACTCAGTTTGCTATGGGGTCGAGCAGTTTCTGGCTTGTTGCTTCGTATGGAAATCTAGATTAACTCCAAAAAAAAGGAAATGAGTTTACGGATACATCACCGTTTATATCACGAGAAATCAGAGCAGGAACTGTAAAATGTTCGCATGTTTGAAAGGATCTACTGCTATTTCCTTGTCAGCCTCTGCTTAATAAAATATACTGATCAAGACCACAGGTACTTTTGATCAAGTGATCGCAAACCATTTCAAAAGTTCCTTTCCCTGTAGCATGTAGGAACGATATGCTAACTTGTCAGACATATGCAACTGAACCCTACAAAAAGGCAGAAAGACTGTTTTGATCCCTATCATAGTCCTCTCTTTCACAAATGTTACCCCCCGGCGAGCGCATGTAGATTTAGGCCAGTTTGGGATTCCCGCAATTTCCCTCAAGTGTACGGTAGCTGGTCCTGCAACGAAGCAAGTACTGTAGTTATTCGAAAAGTCCTACATTTAGTGGCTTACTCTATTCCCTAGCGTTTCCGACGGAATACTAGGGGAACAAACGAGAAGAAAAAAAACTCGAATGGGAGAGGCGAACATAACAGTCCACCACCGGATGAGCGGAGTGACGCCTCATTGTGTTAAGCTGCATTCATACATTGCCTCAGTTCTCGCGAGCAGCCTTGAGTTTTTGGGGACAGTCGCTGAAAACGCCTGCACACGCTCAAAACGCTTAATTTGAAACCCATACTTTCCCAGTGGCTCAAAGTGCCGCTGTATGCTGGCGTACATTAAATTGATACTTAGCCAGCGTTCAGACTTCGCAATGGCAGCGCTTCACTCGCGCATTTGGCGCGGTCGATGCGCATGCTTTCTACTGCATCAAAGCGCAATCGAAGCGCTGCCGTCGCGAAGTCTGAACCAGGGTACGCCAGTCGACCGACGATCTAGTCGAAATTTCAAGTCAGTCATAGTCACCTACTCACCCACTACCTAAGTCTAACGATGCATGATGAGTTTCACAGCCAATCCACCACTGGGAGTTCGTGTGCTATGCATACTGCAATCTACCTTGCCTGCAGAGCACCAAGGCATTTTCAATAAAACCGCCAACAATGAACATGTTTTATTGTAACGTTTAGTAAGGTCCAGCTAGTTAAGAAGCCCATCTGTTTTCGAAAATGACATGTTTCACATAACAATCTGGTGCACCCACCCCCAAGAACGTCCTCCCTAGGCATTGGTAATAGTCCTCACTTTTGAACCACAATCGTCTCTTCAGTGTTCAAGCACTGCCACTTAACACAGAAGCTCCAGAGAGTGAAGAAATGGCGTTTCATAGAAATTGGTAATGTCATAGTCTTACAAAGGCTCGCAGCTTTGTTCTGTGTGTTGACAAAGCTGTGAGTCGCCATTCCGTAATCGTTAGTGTTCTCAGCCTGTCTTTTGGAACGTGCTTTCGATTTTTGAATTTCTTTGACCGTGGACTGAATGCGTTCAAAAGTAACCGTGAATCACGAGCAGTTCGCACAAAGCAAGAGGCTGCACGAGCTTGATCTCGACCATTGTTAGCTCGAACCATAGATCTCAGTCTTTTCGTTTAAGGCTGCATTCATATTTGCTTCAGCGTTTGACCGTTTTGAATGACTAGGAGAGTACGTATTCGAATCTGCGGGTTTGAGCTTTAAATCGGTTCAACTTCGCGAATCGGGGCGATCGAATTCGCGACGACTGGATCGTGAGGTCTGAACGCGGTCTCACGCCAGTTCTTCCTGCCCACCGGAAACTCTAAACTGCCTGCAAAAACGTTCAAAGCGCTGTCCGTACGCCGGCGTACGCTAGACCGATACCTGTACTTTCCTAGTCACCCGAAACGCTCAAAAGCTGCCGTACGTTTAAAACGCCGACGCAAAGTATGAATGCAGCCTTACCACTAGTCATAGACCATTATTTGGGACGGAGCACACTTGGGTCTAAGTCCTTATTCTTGTCAAACAATGGGATTGTGCTTTGTGAACCCGTCCTTGCTTGAAAAGGCCGATATTAATTTGCATGTACGATTTTTCTTCGAGAATATTTTTTCAGTGAGCCGCACCACTGGTCGCGTGTTAGTGTTGCAACGTGGAGCCACTGCCAAGTTCATGCCGAATGCATTGGTGTTTCCCGGTGGCGTAGTGACTCCGTGCGATGAAAAACTCGGTCAACCGACAAAAATCGCCGCCATTAGGGTGAGTATTTGGAAGAAGACTTGTGAAGCAGGGTGTAACAGGCACTGTGTTTGATTCAAACCCAAAATTTACCGATTCTGCCTTTTTTTGACCCATTGATACTTATGGTGTCAGGGATTAAGCATAAGCCCTTCTAATTGATAAAACACCATCTAGAATTGGTCTTTGGTCAGTAACTGAATGAATATCTGTCAAATTTCCTAAGTCAGTTAGCTACTAGTTTATTTGCCTCATATTCATAGCGCCTTAATTTTTCTCTTTTTATTTACCCTAATTTTGAATTTTCGGCGAGGACCTCATATTTTCTTTTCCTGTCATGCCTTGTGTGCTGCTTCTGTACCTTATTTACTGAATACGCATCTTATCTTAATACCTACGACTGACCTTGTAACAGTTCTGTCTCAGGTTCCCTATTCTTAGTCTTTTCAAGGAACTTTTCGAAGAAACCGGGTTACTTCTTGGGCAAAAAGAATCTGCAGCCAACTCTAAGGAACTTCAAGCTCTACAAGAAAGCACGAAAAAAGATCCGGAACTTTTCAAGTTGGTAGGATTTGTTATTATTTTCGTGTTCAATTTTATACCGAAGCTTTTTACTGCAACACATCAGCAAGTCGGCTCGCGACAAGCTGTACGCTTACCTTCGTGGTTTCTGATCCTTGCTATATGTAAGGTGAATGGGTCCGCAGCTGCAATAGCATGCCATTTTCTAACCTCAAATTGCAGGGGAACGGCGCAGAAGGGTGGTGATACCCAGTGGCGAGTCCACACCCCGTCTCTGCCTCACGGCGTGCTGCACGCCTATCTTAACCAGGCACGCTACTTGTCTGTGCCCACTCATTTCTGGCTGTTTTTTTACCACTGAGTATGTCTTTCGCTGTGGGACCTTGGTATCTGTGCAAGTGCTGCACTTTGAGGAGCTCGAGGCGAAGTATGGAGCCTTCACGAAGTATCTCTGCCTTCCAGTCTAGTTTCCGTGCCTCTTTGAGCGAAGAAACTAGCACGCTGTTGCAGTTGCTGCCCACATCACTCGTGGAAACTAGCCTCCTTGAAGGGTGTGCCAATTGTCTTCAAATGTCCTGGTGTGGTTTCCATGCCCGTTAGGTTGAAATACGAAAGCCCCTCCAAGAAACACTATGAGCAACAGTATTTCAGCGTTCTGCGTTCAGTTAAGTTCCGTAATGTCTTTTTTGTTGCCATCCGGTATGCAGTGTTTTTTTACGCCTAACTTGACGACGTACCGTTTATGTGCAGGCTTGTACGTCTCCGCCACTCGATGACTTGATAGAATGGAATACGTGGTTGACCCCTTCATCATATAAACGACGATACATGACATCATTTTTCATAGCTCGAGTGGAAGGTGAGTTTTGTAGTGTTGTCGATTGCAAATTCGTTAGAAAAAAAAGGTTGTAGGTGAGCCAGAAGTTCGTATGTGCGAGCGAGAAATGTCACACTATTTTTGGATGGTACCGGAAGATTGCTTAGAAAAGGCTACTAGTGGCGAAGTCATTTTACCTCCTCCTCAAGTTTACGAGTTGACCAGGCTTTCGCAAGTGAGAGTTATTTAGATCCACTTTCTGACTTGGAGCTTTGTCTGATGCGTTCGCTTCACAGGTTCCTTTTCCAGACACCCGGTGAGGAACTTTCGAAATACAGCAACAAGACGCACGTGATGTGCCCTCAAAACATTACTACTGAGAGCTCTCCACTCATTGCAAGCGTGCTGCCTGGAGACCATCTTTACATCGGTAAGTATTAATTAGAGACTGGGAGCGTGAGGTCAAGTCGCGTTCATACCCCTGTGACCGAAGTGAAAGAGGATACGCTTCAAAGGTAGGTGACGATGTCGGTCTGGTGAAGTGGCTGGGTATCAGAATGCTCTTCGAAATAATGGGATTTCCCTCTACCCCTTGGAGCGCGTTCTCTTTTTTCCCCAAATCACCCGATCGATAATTACTTTTTCATTTGCGCATTCTCCTCCTGATCTGTTCTCCAATAACGGAAAGTGTGAACGCGGCATAATGTGAAACAATTCTAAACCTCAATGTAGTGAAATTCCTTTTTCAGATGAGGATAGCTTCAATCAGCCTCCCCGTACTTTGCCATCAGATGCTGCTCGTGTCGATCCACACAAATCGACGCATCGGGCGGAGTACTTTGCAGAACCCTTGTACGCAAAATGTAAAATATACATGCATAATTTGTTACCCAAATATCGTGAAGAGTTTCATCAGTTCACTACAGAGTCTAAGAATCTGCAGCACTAAATTCTGGCGGGATGAAGGGCCTAATTTAGTCGATTAGAACCTCTCCACTGCGGCCGTCAACGATTGGCGATCATTGTGTGCCTTTCATATAATCAGGCACGAGGTGGGAATTTTGTGCTTCCTAGAAAAATTCATAACTGGGATAAGATTGCATCTTCACTTCGCATGACATCAGTAACTGAACCCAAATGGACGCTGAAAAATGTAAACAATCACTTCGCTTCTTATCGATTTAGCTGTACAATTTAGGATCACCGACTGCTACCAGAACGTGGATTCCGCGCCCGTTAATAGTTGTGCCTTGCAGAGCTGTCGAAAAGTCATGGCACTCTTCATTCCGGACATGGGAGGACGTGGTTGCCGTAACTCTCATTTAATGTCGAAGCGATCGCTTTTTTGGGGATAGTTGTCGTTTAGGTAGCGAGCTAGGAGAACAACCCCTGTGGAGGATATCTAGCAATAGGGTCTTAAGTGGGCTAAATGCAGGTCCAAACAGCGGTTGGTTGGGCACAGCATTGCGCAACACGCGACTGAATAGCGCTCGTAGTCTAGAGTAATGGTGCGGCCTTGTAAGATTGGCCTATCTTAACTTTGCTACTCATGTTTTGATTAAGGCCAGTGTGTGTGTAGCGACATGAAGAAACCTATAGATGTCGGTCTAGCGTTTGAGTGGCGACGCTTGCTTGTCCGTTTAGCGTTTAGTGCACGCCTGCGTTTCGAACGTGCCAGCGTTTTCAGCCACCAGCAATGTATAGGTATCGATCCAGCATACCTGGTGAATCCGAAAGTGTCAGCGTACACTCACAACGCTGGAGATATCCATTCTTTCCTGTAGATCAAAACGCGAAGTATGAACGCGCTCTAAAGGAAACATGTTCAGCGGATTCTGCGATTGACGTTCCAAGTAAGAAAGCGGATGCGGCTTGTTTGTGCACTGAATACATTTCTTTCACCCTGTGATCATTTCACATCGTCCCACCGGGAATTTTTGTATTGACACAGTTACTGAATGCATAAGCACCACTCGAAGCAGTGAACACGCTGTACATGGCTCTTGCCTGCTGGAAAGTACTGTCACTCTGTAGTTAGATTTTCATCAGTTTAGTAAAAAGCATTTACGTTTATAACTTTCAAGTGCCTACTTCAAATGTCCTTGTAAATTTTAGTGATAGTGTGAGTGATGGACTCATTCTATGTTACGGTTCTTAAAATTAAGTCAGTGTGCCCTGAGAACTAAGCCTTTCTTCAATTAAACTTAACACTTTCATCACATTTAAGCAGTCATTTTCTTGATTACCACTTACTTTTTTACTCTCATGTCAGGGAAAGCACTAACATTTATCTCCGCTGTTGTTTCAGAACGTTTACAGTGAAAAGCAGGGTTTATTTCTAGAGGCTCATTAAGGAAGCCATTTATCTAATCATTTCTAGCGAAATATGCATTCGATCATACGTGTTTTTTTTGGTTCAGAATGATAAATAATTCGAGGTTTCTGCCGCTTCAGTTGGGGATTCCCTTTGAGCCCCATGCTCTGAAACTTATGCTGGTTTTTTATCGAAGTTTTTCCATCATTTATGGATTCGGTCATTAAGTTGTCTCCTTGTTCAGTATGAACAGGCGCATCATCAGTCTGGCGCGAAAACACCTTGTTCCGGGTATGGAGATCAGCCCGCGCTCAAGCAATTAATAGGCGTCCTTCCTTGTACAAGTAGTATGGCCCACTTTCATCAGACGCTGAGCTTTCAGTGGAAAAGCCCGTCGCATCACATACATCATCTACTGTATTACCTTGCTTTCTGAACTCGTAAAACAAGAGCAATCGAACTTACTTGCAATCAAGAACTAGTTTCGTTATCAGAAGTACATAGTGGGCAAAGCAGTCAGCTCTGTAAACACGTAGTCAGTAGACATTCAAGACCAATCTTCAACATCTCCGGCGAAAATGCCAAAGACAAGGCAGAACCGTTTTGAACAACCTAATACAATAAATGCTCGTCACCTCGGTCACCTGCTAGTACTGGCTTTTCTGTGAGGATGAGAGGCCTGGGAATCGGGCCTCTCATTCTCACAGAAAAGCCTAAAGTACTCTCGCCCGAAACCGGCCTAATGCCGAACTGGATTGAGTAAACGTCAGTTTTCACCTACTGGATAAGTTCCCGAAAAATTATATCCAACCGGCCAATTTAAAGCCATAATAAGCGGCAGTAGATTCGTGATACCCGGTCTGAAATGGTAGCAGGATGCTATTAGGTTGTCCGGAAAGTTCTCAGCGTTCTGGGTGTTTCCGGACAACCTAATATATTGGGAGGAAATGAGCGAAGTGAACGGTCAAAAACTTGCAAAAAACCTTCGTTCTACACGACTCAGCATTTTAGGACGAGTTTTTCGTCGGCATCGTGCCAATAACCGCTACCGAAGATACGGCTGCATGTATGTACTCATATATCCATGCAGCACCGCGGCCGCTTCATATCAATCCCTTCGCTTCATATTTACTTCGCAAATGAAGCGATACGAACATCAGGTACACTCCATTTGTGGGTGGGCGGACTCGGTGGGCACGTGGGTGGGTATGCTGCAGGTAATGGGGCGCCATAGGGAAACTTTTCTTGGGAAAGGCACCAGGCTGCTCAGGGCGCCGGAATCTGTGGTGCGAGGAGCGTTGACCCTACACGCTTGGGAATTTATCGCGCTACTTGCCTTTGAGAGGGGATATATTCGGGCGATAACAAAGCGTTCCCCATAGAGCTCTGATTTCGTCTTCAACAGCACTCTTTTGATTTTCCTTATCTTTGTTTAAAGGGTAATCCGCCCACGTGTCCTGGTCTATGTCCTTCAAAAATTTCTTTCGTTTTTGATGGATTTTACAATAATGGGACTGCAAGTAATGGGTGTGCGAAAGATGGCTTTGGAAAAATTCTGGAGTACACTGATATTCCAGTTCATGCCCCCACATTCAAAGCTTGGCCAGATAATGTTGAAGCCAATATTTATGAATAGTTTCAATTGCCATGCCCGCTAGATGTATGTGGCTATCAAAGTTGAGGGAGCTACTAGGTTTTGTTACGTGGAATCAAAAGCCATGCTGAAAAAGGACGTTGCGGGCTTCCTATAGCCGCTGTTGTTGAAATCGTTTCACAATACAATCAATCGTTTATGGTTTTGTAGCCACTAAGCCCAAACGTATAACCATGTATGCGTACTCGGGAAAGTGGGTAGGTTAGAGTCGCTCTGTGAAAGAATTTATATTTGGCCCTATGGATAGAAAAATGGAATCGAGATTTTTCGAGATCGATGCTCAACAGAGCAGTCCCTCTTTGGGAGTAGGTAACGCCGGATGCCCACCCCACACCCCTCCTGCATTATATCTTCATTCAGAAGGGTTTCATGAGGATCTGACCTGTGTAGTGGCATGCGAGATCCAAACGACGGGATATTTCCATCCTCCCAGGCGAGCCTGAAACTGATGGGAGACGAACAAGACAGACGTGATTATTTTTGGCGTGGCATATAACGCGGCAAATTCTTGATACCCATCAATATCCATCAGTTTCTCGATTGGAGCAGCGA